GAAGTTGGGTACATTGTGGTCATAAAGGGATGGACATGGTCAGCAACAATACTCAGGTAGGCTGTGGCGTTGCAACGATGCTCAATTGATCCCATGGGGCCCAAAGAGAAAATATTCCCCACACCATTACACCACCACCACCAGCCTGAACCGTTGATACAAGGCAGGATGGATCCATGCTTTCATGTTGTTGACGCCAAATTCTGACCCTACCATCCCAATGTCGCAGCAGAAATCGAGACTCATCAGACCAGGCAACGTTTTTCCAATCTTCTATTGTCCTATTTCGATGAGCTTGTGCAAATTGTAGCCTCAGTTTCCTGTTCTGAGCTGAAAGGAGTGTCACCCGGCTGGTCTTCTGCTGCTGTAGCCCATCTGCCTCAAAATATATATATATTTTTTTTACAAATTCAAGATATAAAAAAACGGATTTTTTAAAAACAGAAAAAAGTAAATAAAATTTCAAGAGATAAGTATACTTTTTTTTTGTTTTTAATTGTACGACCTACTATCACGACAGTCACACGTTGACTACTAAGTGAACTAAATTTCCCACAGCACTGATTGGCCAAGCAATGTCATGTGATCATCTGCAGCCAGTGATGGCCAAGCGGGCGCATCATAACTAATTGACATGTTGAGTTGGGTGTGTCTTAACCTTAAACCCCTGACACCGATTCACCAAACCCCTGGGGTTCGATTGAACGCAGGTTAAGAACCACTGATCTCTATGTATCTATATCTATCTCTCTCTCTCTCTCTCTCCCTCTCTCTCTCTCTCTCTCTCTCTCTCTCTCTCTCTCTCTCTCTCTATATATATATATCAGGTGGCACGGTGATCGATGATAAATAGATGCAGATATACAGTATATCTATATCTATATAGATATATATATATATATATATCGACATATAGATGTCGATATATATCTATGTATCGATACATATATCGATACATAGATATACAGTGTATATATATATATAGAGAGAGAGAGAGAGAGAGAGAGAGAGAGAGAGAGAGAGAGAGAGAGAGATTTTTTTTGAGTGAGGGAAAAAAAAAGGTTTTTTTATGAAACTGACAGGATGCTTTGGGGGCAGTATGCACGAGCACAAAAAATATGTGCAACATTAATTCCACACACACAGACAGCTTTTTTTTTTTTTTAACACACCTATCAAAACCGACCAGTCCCCAGGCTTGTAGGGAACCCCTGTCCAAGACCAATTTCGCGATTTGTCTTAATCAAGAATTTTGTCTATTTCAGTAATTCAACAGGGTTCGCTTTAATGCGCAGTGGAGTCCGTGGGAGTCTTCGGTGTACACACTTTCTTTTTCTCCTTCAAATTTCCAAAACTGAACTCACCCCATTTGCATCTTCCCCAGCAGTGTCCTCTTGTTGAAGACTCACAGCAATCCTTTGCAAGTGCCCCGGTTCATGTCCCCAAAAGAGTCAGTCATGCTTCTTTTAGGGTTAAATGGAGTTAGGCTTTATTTGATCCAGGTTTTTTTCGACAACAGCTGTGGACAAAACGAGGCTTGGAAAATTGTACTCGTAAATTAGGGCAGTGCATCGGTCCCACCAAAACTCTCAAACCTCAAAGAAGCCCGACAATCGAGATGGTTTTCAATCGCAGTGTCATAGTTCAATCTAGTCAGTCACAACATACTATCTGAGAGATGTTTCCCAGACAGAGGACGACACTGGCTTTGTGCTTGATGCCGTGAATCTTGTTTCTGAGGACTCTAGTTCTCTGAAAGTGTTCGAACGGGCTTCAAATCCTTTTCATTTTCTTTCCATTTTGGGTCTGATTAGCTTTCTCGAAAGAATGATGAAGAGATTGTTTTCAGTTCACTTTTGCCATTAGACATTTAGACTACTTCTGCTTTCGCGATATTGTCTATTACCAATGTTTTGCTAGTTACTGAAAAATAGTGAATAGTTACTAGTTACTTCATTGAAAAGTAACTCAATTGATTACTTAAACCAAAAAGTAATTCATTATGCATT